TAGATAGATAGATAGATAGATAGATAGATAGATAGATAGATAGATAGATAGATACTGTAACTATTCAGAACATCCCTTATCTTGCCTGATTTCAGAATCTGAATAGGGTCAGCTTCTGATAACTAGGGAAACACCAAGGATTTCCAGGCAGGGCTAATGAACGCATGGTGCCTGAAACCTGGGAGAACCAAGGCTGCCAGTCAGGGTTGGCAACACTGATCCAGATAGACCAAAGGTTTCGTCCAGTAAGAACGGATGAATTTTTGGTTCCTGTGGATGCATGAATCTGTCCCTCTTCCTCAAAAGGAACTTTCGAAGCAGAGCCAAGGGGTTGTTTTCCTTCCTTCAGTTCGTTGGGACGACCTGCCGGGAAAACGAACGTCTAAATTTGCTCGGAGTTCCAGCAATTGGTCAATCAAGCAATCCTTTCCCACAGTTTCCACGAGTCTGTTGATGTGTTTCTGGCCAGATGGAAGGCAGGGACGGGAGGGAAATTTAGGAAACAAGAGGAAATTCAAGGACATAATAAGTATGGTATCTAACATATGTCTCAGCCAACATTTCTCAGGGAAATTAATTTTTCCAAAGGGACATATCTTTTTTCCTCCCCGGGAGGAAAGGATCCAGGTTGCAGACAGCACGTCTTGGCCACTGGAAGCGGGGAACTTTGGCTTGACCACAAGACGTGTCCAGGACTATCATCTGGGTCAAATTGCCCTGAGTCAGATTCCTTAGGAACTTTGTGCGATGCTTGGCATCAGTTTCAGGGGAGAGAGCATCGAGGTATGCCTCCAGAGACTCAAGCTCAACCATCATTCATCGGAGGAGGACCTTTGTGTTTCAGGACATGGAAAAGCAAAGGTTCTCCTTGTGAGATGCATGGGAGGGAGGTTGGAGGTCAAGCGAGAGCTGGCTCTGAGGAGGAGAAATCTCAAAACATCCTCCTACCGTGTCTGGTTCTTTTTCCTCTTTAGCTGGAGAGCTACATCCAGATGAACATGAAGTCCGAGATGGTGCAGCTCCAGCAGAACGTGGTGCAGAACCAAACGGCCACCATGTTGGAGATCGGCACAAGCCTCTTGAACCAAACAGCTGAGCAGACCAGGAAGCTGACGAATGTGGAGGCTCAGGTAGAGTTTTTGGGGTGACGGAGAACCAGGCAGAAATGTACCAAGGGATAATACATTTAGGGCTGCAGGAGATCAGGAGAGGCTGTGCTAGCCAGAACAGATGGCATGTAATAGGATCTCCTCCACTGGCTGGCTTTTATCTCCTGTCTTTGAATGTTCTTTTTTAAAAAAGCCAGCCAAAAGCTAACTTTCTCTGTTGGTGCACAAGACTTTTGAATACAATGCATGTCTTTCACAGCACCTTCTGTGAAATGTCCTACCCTGTTTTCCCCAAAATAAGACCTAACCTGAAAATAAGCCCTAGTATGATTTTTCAGGATGCTCGTCATATAAGCCCTACCCCAAAAATAAGCCAGAGTTAAGTGAAACCCCGCCCTCCACCATTGTGCAGCAACCAGAAGTTGACATTATTGTATTTGAATAAATGTAATGGTTGTACATTTTTAAAAGTCCCCTAAAAATAAGCTCCAATGCATTTTTGGGAGCAAAATTTAATATAAGACCTCGTCTTATTTTCGGGAAAACACGGTAAGAAGGTACAGGTGATGTGCCTGGTCACCTATCAGTCACATGAACAGTACATTGTTAATGAGCTGTGAGTCTCTTCCACAATTGACATGATTTTACTTGCTCTGGAGTAAAAGCATAATAAGAATCTGGTCAATGGATGTTTATTAAGCAACATTAAATCGATGGATGGATGGATGGATGGATGGATGGATGGATGGATGGATGGATGGATGGATGGATGGATGGATGGATGGATGGATGGATGGGT